AAGCAAATCGCATCTCCCACCGAGTAAGATACCACCCGATCTTCCTCGCGGAGGGAGGCAGTGCCAATCGAAATCAATACCACCCACAAGAGAGGAAAGAAACTGGGGCACAAAATTATCTCCACCAGTCTCCGATAGAGCAATGAAATCTAAACGCTGCTCTAAGGATGCCTCAGCAAGGAACCTTCTTTTAGCCAAGTCCTTCAGACCTCTGCTATTCCAAAAGATTCCTTTCATATTTCATCATGGAATTTTTTAGTGGTCCGAATCCTAGCACTCCTACGAACCGCGGAATCGGGATAGATCTTCCGTTTCCACTTGTGCTTTGGTTTACTAGGCTCTGACGCTCTGTCCTCATAACCGGGTTCAATTAAACTACCAGTATCATTCTCTAGGGGCACATCATCGTCCTCAGACTCATGACTGGGGGGTGCTAGATCCGCACACAGATTATCGAGCACTCTAACCCCTAACGCACCAATCTCATCATCATTCATTGGTTTAACCGCTGCAAGATTACGAATAGTCTCTAAGGCACGCTCCGCCTCCAAATCTAACAGATCATTCACCGAATTGGTAATCTCACTATCCGTAGCACCTAGTGAAACTCCTAATTGGTTTGCATTATTTATAATCTCCTCATTAAAAAAATGCAATAAAGAATTAGAGATGTTGACGGACATACCAGAAGATAATGCAGCATCCTGAAGCTTGGTCGCCCTCATAGCGCACCGCTGCTAAATATCATCCACCTCCGGGAGCTCGTGGATGCGAGCACTCATCCGTCTTCCCGTCGAGACGGGGTCTGGGATCCCGCCAAAAGCGATAACCTCCTCCCTAGTAAAGCCTGGCGCCGAGTCCCTCAAAGGGTCAACCGAGGTTACCGGAGAGGGCAGCTGCGGGCTCCCAAGCCCCTCAGATAGGTGCCCCACACCGGGGTCTGCGGCCACGTGTACAAACGGAGAGGGGATAACATGGGCCGCCTGCCCGCGCCCTCCTCCCGCCCCACCCGCCGGCGCAAACGGAAGAGCCGTCGGCGAAGGAGAGACGGTCCTCCTGACCGCCTGGGACGAAGGAGGGGCCAGGGCCACCTGCCCCAGCCCCCCTCCCAACGCCGCTACAACCGGAGTAGCGGGAGCCGAGGCTGCCTGCCTCGGGCTCCCTCCCCTGGAGCTAGCCGACTCCAACGTGACCGACCTCACCGGCGTCGGGAAATGGAGGGGGAAAGTCAAGGCCTCCTGCCCCGAACCCCCTCCCTCCAACACCAGCTCAGCAGCAGCAAACCGCACCGGAGCCTCGACCACAGGAGGAACAAGGGAAAGAGAAGCAACCTCCGGCTCCCCCACCCCAACTCCATCCAGAGTTCTCGCCGATGGGGCCCTCACCAAGCGTCCAGGCACAGAACCGCCAGCTCCCTCAAACTCCAACGGAGGAAGCGTGCGCTCAAACATATCATCAGAGTCTACCCGGTCACTCCAAAGTCTGGGCGGCGCAGATGCTGGATCAAAGGACCCAAACCGCAACGAAGTCATAGGCACCAAAGGTGATGCTGCCGGCTCAACCCCGGTCCCATCCCCGGGCAACTGAGCATCTGGGAGAGAGCCGTTAGACCCCTCTCGTGTGGACTCATCAGTCTGTGCCCCATTGGCTCCCGCACCGCCATCTCCCTCGTGCATATCAACATCATTCCCATTAACTACATCAGCAAACAGATCAGTGTCCTCAAACTCAATCTCGAGCGGGAACACCTCTCCCCTATAAGTCCAGTTGACCACATCAGGCACGAACTCAATATCCAGAATACTGACTAAAAGCCGGGCCACCCCATGAGCCCGGGTAAAAGCCATATCAACTCTCTCCGTCTTCCCAACCATCATACCCAAACTGGCCACAACTCGAACATCCTGCAAAGGCTTAGACGGCCCCCCTACAAACCGCAACCAGACCTGTGTAAGCGGCTTTCCCTTAGGCTCCACCTTCTTCCACTCATGAAACTCCAGAATGCACGAAGTGCCAGGAACTCTACACAAACTAAAGCTCAACAACCGCTGCAAGCCATCCACCGTGGGGAAATCAACCTTAAAAACCTTTTCTTCGAGACCAACCAGCTCCCACCAAAAGTCCCCCGGAGCCAGCTCCTGAAGCCTCCGCACGATCTGAGCCTCAGTCACGCCGCCCTGGGTAGCTTTCACAACCCCGGTGGTCAAACTCTGGGTCTCCTCCAGAATCTCTCGCGCAGCCGGTGACTCAAAGAACATAAGCTCAGCACAGTAGACTCCGTACAAAGTCAGCGATGGAGCCTGGTCACGCAAGAACGGGCACTCCCCCGAGGCATGTGCCGGCTTGCCACATGACTCACACAGCTCGGCCACACACTCAGCAATAAAGTGGCCCTTCTCCCCACAACGATAGCAAAGCATCTTTTCCTTCTTGCGCGCATACTTGGACGCCCTCTCAGCATCCGACCTGTCAATAGCCTCTGCCACAGTCCCAGTCACAGGAACCTCAACACTGGCCAAGGCAGTCACAACCTCCATCGCCTGGGAAGGAAGATCAGTGGACGCGTGATCGGCCTCCAGTGCTGACGCCGCGTGCTCAACAACTACCTTAGGCGGAGGCGGGCGGCGAAACCTCCCACGGCCCCCTCCCCAACCACCACGATGACCCTGATAGCCTCCTCTCTGATGGTAGTTTGGGCATGTGGCTCCTTCAACAAATCCGCCTGGAGGGCCGAGAAACGGTCTCTCGGCAGACCCATCACTCCACCAGGCATGGCCACGACCTCCTCCCGTGGACGAGGAACCACGATGCCGTCCCTCACCATACGCATCATACCCGTCATCCCCCCACTGGCCTCGGGGCGGATCAGTGGGCTCTCTATTGGTAGAATACTGTCTTGTCTGAGTCGGACCTGACCGGTTTTGCGTCGGCCTCGCAACGTGATGGGGCGGAGGTGCGGCCCGAGGCTGATTGCTCGATGGCAATGGCACGCCCCCAGAAGGCCGAGGCCCTCCACCACGGCCAGCCGGAACCACACCGGCATCGCCCGGCGCCTGAGGCTGGGGCCCACCACGACCTGCCGCCGGCTGAGCCACAGATGCCGCACTCGGCGCCGGAGGCCTGAGCCCGCCTCTTCCGGCCATAGCATGGATGGGTACTTGCCCCGGTGGCCGAGCGCCCACAAGGCCAACGCCGCGACCCTGGGTGCCTGGCGGCACACCACCGCCCGCCGGCGGCCTCTGGCCAGGCTGCCCCAGGGCCCCGCGCCCCGCGCTCATCGCCGGCGGCAGTGCCGCACCGCCCGGCTACAGAGCAGCCCCACCCCGACCAACAGCAGCAGCGGCCGGCTGCTTCTTAGCGGGCGGCGCCGCAGCCCCGCGGCCTGCCATGGACCCAAGAGGAGGAATGCGCGCCGCTCTCCCCGGGCCACAGCGGCGAAACCCCGGCGTGCCTCCCCGGCGCAAACTAGGGCACAGCGACGGCGGCCGAACGTACATGACCTGGAGATCGATTGCACGCATGCAGGGATTCTGTACGTATACGGTCGCCCCCACAGAATCCTCGTTAGGCTGGGCCACGCACCCAGTTAACGACCCAGGTGGATCTGCCGCGCGATGGGCCTCATACCCATCGGCAGGCCGGCCCACGTCTCCCGATGCCTGATCGGGGCCACTGAGGCCCAAGATCGAATTCAAACGGCGAGACTTGTCGGCACGGATCTCGCTGATCCCTCTGATCGGCGGCGAAGCCCGTCTGGCCGCACGAACAGTGCCCGAACTCGCCACCGGCGGCCGGCCAATCTTTCCCTTCTTCTTTCGCGTCACTAAAGTCCAATCATCCGGCAAAAATTGAGACAAGGTCATAGGTTCTCTACTTACCTTAGGGATCGGTCCGATCCAGGGCTTCATAGCCGGCTTGGAGTTTTCAAAATTTGAGCGACGTCGAACGATCTTAATCATGGGCTCCGGCAACGGCCCGACAGCCGGCAAAGCCATGACCCTGGAGGGGACACACTCCGCTTGATCTTCGTCGTCGCTCTCCAGAAGCGCCCAAAAACGTCCTCCCGGTCTTGCCTGAATCGACTCCGTCAGATCGATCACCTCGGATGCCTTCGAACGTAGGTCTATCTGCACATACTCGCCAACAACTATGTTATAATCATCAAGCTTGAATTGAAGACCTACCTCAATCACGTCTCCGACTGGAAGATAATCGCCGGCGAGGACGTCATTCTCCAGATCGAGAAGAACCACCCATCTTGAATGATGGGTGAATCGAAGCCGCCCTTCGATCCACACACCAGGATCCATCACGAGAGAGAACGATACTCGCCATTGCGACCACTGGCGCTCCTCCCGCCCGATCTCACGCCTCGGCTCACCACGGCCCCCTCCCGATCCCGTAGACCCCTCCTTTCTCTCCAACGACGCCGCCGCAGGTGAAGTAGGAGATCTCGATGGGATCAGGTGTGACCCCCAGCGCTGAGATGCGGCGCGGATTGGGGCGCCGGCGGTGAGAGACCGATCCCCTCAGGCGGCCTTGGGTTCTGTCTTGTAGACTGTAGTCGCGTCCTTGGGTAACAACGTGATTGACCCGCAAGAAAATCCTATCCGCGCTTGTCTTACTCGGACGGCAAACTTGACCAGTACGATGACGGATAACCATACACGGTAGCCTAGCTGGGTCGAGTCTTTGAGGTTGACGAAGACCTTGACGTATTGCATCAAGCTGAACTGACCTGTCTTACCGTTAGTTTCTTGCTTCTGTACCAATTCAATGTTGAAAGCTGAGTTTTTTTATTTTTTATTTATTTTGCGGGTGAACTAGGATCTTTCTTCTTGGCTCCTTGATCCCGTAGTAGATTTTCTTCATAAATGTGATGCCATAGGCCTGAAGTAAAAGCTTGTTCATCTCTCCGTTCTAGGTCTAGTATATGTGACACATACAACGTGCATAACTCACTCTTTCTCTTTCCTACACCTAGCTCAGAAGATTTGGAAATGGATCTTGCAATATCTGCCGTTACAGGTGACCTCGCCAGCCGATTCATCTCTTTTCTCATGAACAAATACACGGATCATGTATGCTCAGAGGAGAAGGCGGAGAGGCTACAACAACTCTTGTTGAGAGTTCACACGGTCGTCGAGGAGGCGGACGGACGATGCATCACCAACTCTTGTATGCTCATGCAGTTGAAGCAGCTATCGTCAGCCATGTACCAAGGGTACCATGTGTTGGACAACGTCAGGTACAAGCAACATAAGGAGGCATCCAAGGACTTGGTGAGCGATTCATCTACCTCGTCCGATTATATCATTCCTTTCAAACGTGCTCGGACAGCCTATTCTTCGACAAACAAGGCCTCCAACTCGGGATTACAAAGTGCACTTGAGAATCTGGAAGGTGCTGTTACTGACATGGTGGAGTTTGTTGTGCTTTTGGGCGGATGCGAGCGCATCTCCCGGAGACCGTATGATGCCTATCTTCAGGTCGACAACTTCATGTTTGGTCGGCATGTCGAGAAGCAGAAGATCATCAACTTCTTGCTGCAAGAGAACATACCTGGTCCTCCGGCAGTGCTACCAGTCGTTGGTGGACGTGGAGTTGGGAAGAAAACTCTTGTTGCACATGTATGCAGGTATTTTTTTTGCAAAACTCATCTGCCTCGTCTGATTATATCATTCCTTTCAAACGTGCTTGCGCAACCAAAATAGTTGTTCGCCAAACAAGGCCTCCAATAGTTGCACATGTATGCAGGTATGACAGGGTGCGTTCTCACTTTGCAGTTATTTTGCACCTGAACGGAGACGGTCTTACGAGAATAACATACCATGAAATTCCGTCAGGGAGGAACGGAGACGGTCTTACGAGAATAACATACCATGAAATTCCGTCAGGGAGGACACTGGTAGTTGTCGAGTTTGCTTCCGATGTAGATGATGATGACTGGAAAATATTTTATTCATCTGTTACGTGCATGGACAGAGGAAACAAAGTGATAATCTTAGGCCGAAATGAAAGCTTGAAGAAACTTGGGACTGTCCAGAGTATATCTCTGAACCGTCTGGCATTCGAGGAGTACAGGTACCTGCTCAAGACGCTCGCATTCGGAAGCCTGAAGCCAGGAGACCATCCGTGGTTAGCAACGATAGTGGAAGAGTTCGCTGTGGTGTTGGAAGGATCACTTGTTTCAGCTAACTTGCTTGGATATGCAGTGAGAAACAATCTAAATGCCCATTTCTGGCTTAGCACATTGAACAAGATCAGAATCACAAGGAAGATGATCATGTCCAGGTTTGGCTGCCATCCAAATGGCCTTTTCGATCAAGACCGTCCGGTGCACTTTGGCTCTCACCACCTCTTGTCTCCTGCTGCTCGCCTTATACCCTCTGCTAGCTGTCTGGATAGTAGTCTACCCAAAGTCATATTCGGGGACGTACTAGGAGAACCAGGCCATATTGCTCCAACGAAGGGAGATTTTAGGCTGATCTCTTGGGAATCAAGGTTACCACCATATACTGCGTTTGTTCATCTGTCTCGCTTTGTTCCAAGTTGTGTGGATGATAAGCCTGAAGCACCCTTGTCAGGGAGGAAGCGTCTGGGGCCATCTGCGTAGTCTCATGCCACATATCTTCAAGTAGCATTTATAGATCTTATGAGATATTTAAAGCTCTGAGTATAATGTAAAGATAAACATACCAAATTGATCATAATCACCTTTTTTCAGTTTGGACAAGAGTCACAGGAAAAGTTATATGTGCCATGGGTTGGTTCATAGGGATGGGGTCCGAACTGGCAGCGTATGTACAATATTGATTATGTTGTTTAGTATAGGAACCTAACTATCTCTGTAAGAACATGTTATGAGCTTTTATTCGTCAATGGTAGGTGTGATCACCGAGAGTGACTTTTTGTGTAAAAAAGCATAACATGATAGCAGCGCTGCATTGAAGTAGTCGCGCGCTTACTACTCCTGTGGCGTTGCTGTCATCCAACGGTCACCAGCGTGCTGATCAGACGGCTGATTCGTAGCATTCCATTTATCCATTTACGAAGCCTTTGATCCCAAACAAGTTGGGGTAGGCTAGATATGAAACCCTTTCACGAGGACTTCCCAGGAGGTCACCCATCCTAGTACTACTCTCGCCCAAATGGGTTTCATACCCAAAAGACTGGCTAGTTTTTACGTTGGCTCGCCAAGCCTATCACAACCCTTAGATATGAAACTCTTTCACAAGGACTTCCCAGGAGGTCACCCATCCTAGTATTACTCTCGCTCAAATCGGTTTCATACCTATGGGACTGGCTAGTTTTTACGTTGGCTCGCCAAGCCTATCACAACCCTCCTCCTTTACCCGGGCTTGGGACCGGCTATGCCTAGAAGACATAGGCGGAGTAACCGAGCAACTACACCCTTTTGTCCTGCTAAACCTGATAAGTAACTCATTTTTTTCTTAAAGCATGGCAATTATACATGTTAAAACCTAGCAACTTGTCTATAAATCAGTGCTTAAAACCCGGCAACCCCTGCCAAAAAAATCCCCGACAACCAAACTAACTTGGCAACCATGTGTATACATCTGGCAATTACGCTTGATTAAACCTGATAATCATGTGTGTGTGTGTGTGTGTGTGTGTGTGTATGTATGGCAAGTGGCAACCCCCGTGTGTAGGATGACAAACCAAAGGTTGTGCAAGCATGACAAGTTACACAAAATACACATGAAAACTTGATATAATTAATCTGGCAACTAGGGAAGCAACTAGTGGCGGAGCTACAAAAAATATGTTGGGTGGGCCTGATAGTACAAACAACACTATCAAATTAAAAATCAATGCATTAATATGGGCTAGACTTCATGCCATTTTTTTTCTCCAACCCAGGGCGGGCCATGGCCCTTTCAGCCTTGCTGAAGCTCTGCCGGTGGAAGCAACCATAGCAATTATCCCGGCAGCCACAGTTTTGCAAAAATGGAAAGCTGTATGAAACAACGTGGTAGTTGACACAACTAAAATCTTAACCAAGCATGCAACACATCACGATGACTGCCTGTGAATAATAGGCAAGTAAGTACAATAACCTGACAAGTACTGGCAATTTGTTTATTGGAACACATCGATATGGAATCTAATTTGCAAATCTCACCACGACAAAGCCAACGATAATAGTAAATCATGCATCCAAAAAACATAGACCATCATTCAAATTATTATTGCAAAACATCTTAGACCGATTAGAATTTCTGATGTTTGAAACTAAATGAGCCGGTTGATATTATTGCAAATTGCAGCACCGAGATTGTGCTTAGCTTAATTAGTCGTACTCAAATAAGGTAGCCCTGGCCTAGCTGCCTCGCACAACCAATAGTTCTTGGACAAACAAGGCCTCCAATTCGGAGTTACAAAGTGTACTCCAGAATCTGGAAGCTGCTGTTGCTAATATGGTGGAGTTTGTTGTGCTTTTGGGCGGATGCGAGCGCCTCGCCCATAGACCCTACGACGCCTATCTTCATGTCGACAACTTCATGTTTGGTCGGCATGTCGAGAAGCAGCAGATCATCAGCTTCTTGCTGGAAGAGAACATACCTGGTCCTCCGGCAGTGCTACCAATCGTCGGTGGACGTGGAGTTGGGAAGAGAACTCTAGTTGCACATGTATGCAGGTATGACAGGGTGTGTTCTCACTTTGCAGTTATTTTGCACCTGAGTGGAGACGATGTTACCAGAATAAGAGATCATGAATTTCCATCAGGGAAGACACTGGTAGTTGTCGAGTTTGCTTCTGATGTAGATGACGATGACTGGAGGACATTCTATTCCTCTGTTACCAGCATGGACAGAGGAAGCAAAGTGATAATCTTAGGCTGAAATGAAAGGTTGAAGAAACTTGGGACTGTCCAGACTATTTCTCTGAACCGTCTGGCATTCGAGGAGTACAAGTACCTGCTCAAGACACTCGCATTCGGAAGCGCGAACCCCAGGGACCATCCGCGGTTAGCAGCGATAGTGGAAGAGTTTGCTGTGGTGTTGGGAGGATCACTCATCCCAGGAAACTTGATTGCACACGCAGTGAGAAAGAACCTGAACGCCCATTTCTGGCTTACCACATTGAACAGGATCAAAATCACAATGAAGATGAACATCTCCAGGTTTGGCACCCATCCAAATGAGCTTTTGGATCAAGGCCGTCCGGTACACCTCGGCCCTCACTACCTCTTGTCTCCTGCCGCTCCCTCTCGTAGCTCTCCAAATAGTAGTCTACCCAAACTGGTATTTGGGGACTCGCTAGCAGAAGCAGGCCATACTGTTCCACCGAAGGGAGATTTTTGGCTAGTCGCATGGGAGTCAAGGTTACCGCCATACACTTCATTTTCTCATCTGGTTCACTTTGTTCCAAGTTGTGTCGATGATAAGCCTGAAGCATCCTTGTCAGGGAAGAAGCGTCTGGGGCCATCTGCCTAGTCTCATGCCACATATCTTCAAGCAGCATTTACATATCTTTTGAGATATTTATAGATCTGAGTATAATGTAATAATAAACTTACCAAATTGCATAATCAGCTCCTTTCCTTTTTGGTTTGGAAAAGAGTCACAGGAAAAGATATGTATGTGCCATTGGTTGGTTCGTACGGATGGGTTCCGAATTGGCAGATCATGTATAGCATTGATTATCTTGATTAGTATAGGAACCTTTAACTATCTAAGAACATGTTATGAGCTTTTATTCATCATGGTTGGTGTGATTACAGAGAAGAAATATATTGTATGCATCATGTGACTTTTCGTGTAAAAAAAACATCATGTGACTGAGATACATTTTCCCATCTATATGAATTTCATAAAATTCACAAAATAAAAAAATGATTGGTATTTTTGAAGGTGTTATGGGCACTAGTAGATCTCTCGAGATCCATCCTATTCGAAGGAAGCTTTCAATGGGTTCAACTTATTGCCGGATGGTGCTTTGGAATACTATGTTCAATAAAACAATAAGAAAGTCACTATCAACTAATGGGTAAATTCTCCCCCTTCTGTTGTTTACTTGCTTAAAAAAATTATACTGACACTATCCAAAAAACAAAGTACTGTTATAAAGAAAGGGCATTTAACACGCACTAAGTAGAAGCTCTGCATCAAATAATACACTTTTTGGTTTGCTAAAATGGTAATGTAGTTAATAAAACTGCTCCGGACATGAAATAATGTAATTTCTTACAAGTTTGTTTACAATTACAGGGCATTGTTAAGATAAGCTGTCGACTTCCCTTGAAATTGCACGGGAAAGTCAAATGAATTAAACTTGGCAAACTACAAACTTAGTTACTCACCAAAAATATCTGCAGCAGAACTCTGTTTGCAAGTGACATTGTCCCACCAATCCACAACAGCAATCAAACTACACCAAAATTTACCAACAAAATGCAACTGTGAGGTTAAAATAAATCACTTCAATCAGCTTGCATTAACTTTGTAGCATACTTGTCTGCTACTCTGCTATTGCCCATTCCAACATAGCAGCTAAGATAACCCTTGTCAGAGCATTAAAAATTGCAGGAGGAAGCAGCAGTACAAGTCACCTCCCAACCTTTCTAGGCATCTCAAAATGTACACCATTTGTTCCTCACAAAAATTAGGAGACAACAGCAATGATATACCCAACAAGCTAACTACAATATTTTTGTCGTACTTGAAAGACATGTGCCCTGCAGAATAGAAAAAAAAGAAGGAAATGATCAAATGAGAATGGGAGTGTAGATACAGGCTTGCATCAGAAGAAAATATATGGTAACAATGACTCAAACCATATACTGTAGCCATAAAAGCAAATAAGACTAATAATGACTGAAACTCATATATGCAATAACAATGACTCCAACCATATAATGTAGTCGTAAAAGCAAATATGACTAATGCCTGAAACTCGTATATGCTCCTCTCCGGTTTGAAGTCATTGTTACCTTTTACTTGATGTGCTCCTTTGTTTTGGCTGTGTGCATGCAGGGATTGAGATTAGTTTTATACAGTTTGTAGTATCAATTTGATGCGATTATAAATTTTACTGAATTATTTTATCATCGAACGATGAGATTGACCTGAAAGATAAGCCTGTCGCTACTGCACTGTCTCTGAGTGGACGGCAAGCTTGGCCAATAGGATGACGAATGACCATACATGCATACACGGTAGCTGAATCGAGACTGGACGTTAACGTATACCTATTGCATCAAGCTGAATTGACCTCATCTGTCCGTTTCCTTACTTATGTATCAGGCTATCAGTAGTTCAGTACTACGATGTTGAAAGCTGACAGGTAGCCTTGGATCTTTCTTCTTGGCACCTTGATCCCAGTAGTCAACATTTTTTTCACATAAACACGATGTAACAGCTGCCATAGGCATGAAGGAAGTTTCTTCGTACATTATGTGGATGGATCGACGGTGATACCGATTTTAGATATAGCGAGTGAGAGCACTCCATGTTATCGAGTTTGAAAGTGTGAGTGGTGGCTTCAGATGGCTTGATGTATGTTCTTGTCAGACCTTTGTTGAATAATTAATAAAAATGGCCGTATGCATCGATTGATTTTTAACCTTCTTTTCCAAAAGAAAACCTCCGG